GATGATTAAATATTTTGTTATTTTAACTGTGTCAATGCATGTTCTTCTGATGAGCTTGAGAAGTAAAATTGGTCTATGTCATGCATAAATGTAAGCATTGTTATACCTCTCCTATTATATTTTTGGTCGAATTCTAATGTTGAATTTGACATATATCTGCTTTTGACAGGGTAATCCCAAATAGAAAGCTTCACCCTGCAGCCTACAGGCTTTACATGGAACTCCTCAAGAGATATGTTTTGCCTTTCTCATCTGAAATCACAGGGTCAAACTATCAGAAGTGAGTGTTAACTCTTAATTTATTGCAGAAGGTTCTGAGTGGCATTTTTCGTTGTCAAGTAACGTTTGTTTTCTCATTGAAATTGGCATTGTTTTGATGATCAACTTGCATTTATAATATAGTATGTTGATCATCTACACATTATGCGGTTTCGATGTTAGTTATAAAATTTTTTGGGTCATAATGAGATTCGAAGTCCTAAAATTCAACTTGAAATTTAGGATTTCAGATTCTTTTGTGAATGAGAATTACTTGCATGAAAATATCACGTGCTAAAAACATTGTACGTAGATGTTTGCTAGGCCTGGTATTTATTTTAACGGAAATGAGCTAGCCGTTTTTGCATCTATTAACTGTTTTGTAGTAAAATCTTTTACGATATTGTGCTGTCCACTTCTTTTGGTAGCGATAGTCATTTAGATCAGCATATATCTGGAATATTAAATCTTTTGGCCAGACTTTGACTCGACATGGCTATCTTAGAAGTGGCTCCTTAATAATGCAAACATTTAAAACTTAACTTAAAATCAGTATATCAAGTTCACGTGGCAGTAAAAGTTTTTTTCAAGTGCTACAAGCAGTTAAATAGACTCGTTTTTTTTTTTCTTTTCCTTCTCTCTAAATGAAACCTTTGTTCCTGTTAATTTATCAAACATTATGACTTAATAACTTCAGAAGCTTTGTTTGGTTACTTCTTTATATTACTAGTAAGTGGGTATTCACCATAAATTTCCATGAGATTGCAGGAACATGAAATCCATAGATGGTGTCCTCAATCTCTCTCACATCTTTGGGGCCCATGCCTATGAACCTGGGCTTCTTCTGGTTGAATTTGTCTTCTCAATTGTGTGGCAGTTACTTGATGCATCCTTAGATGATGAAGGACTGCTGGAACTTACTCCAGAGAAGAAATCAAGGTGGCCAACTGGCCCAGAAGACATGGAAATAGATGGTCCTGATAGCTTTAATGGGAAGAGAACTGAGAATTATGAGGTGCTGTGTGGAGCAAATAGTACAATGGCTATTGAGATTGTTGGAGAATTCCTGCAGAATAAAATAACTTCGAGGATTCTTCACTTGGCATGTCAAAACATGTAAGACCTTGTTTTTGCTACTTAGTTTTCTTTTTAAATAATTTTTGTTACTTAGTTTGTCCTCTCCCCTATCCAATCGTGGTCTTTGGTAGAGGAAAACATATAGCATGCAAGTTAACTCAGTACATTCCCCTTTCAATTGACACCATCTCCAACTTAGGTTATTATTTGAAACGAAAATGGCTGATGTCTTGGTTCAG